ATAAATCAAAAATTAGCCAGGCATGGTAGTGCGTGCCTGTAGTTCCAGCTACTTGGAAGGTTAAGGCGGGAAGATCGCCAGAGCCCAGCAGGTCGAGGCTGTGGTGACCGGGAGCGGCCACTGCATTCCAGTCTGGGTGACAGAATGAGACTCTAACTCAAAAAAAAAAAAGAATTTTCATTTGCTCTGGTGTGTTTGCAAAAAATTAAGTGACCACATATGTGCCAATCTGTTTCTACCTCTGTTCTTTTGATCCGTTAGTTTATCCTTACAGAAAACCATGATACCATAGTTGGTGTGATTTTAGAGGAATTCTTGGGATCTGGTAGTATGTAAGTCTTCTAACTTGGTTTTTCTTTACAAGAGGGTCTTGGTTAATGTAGGTTGGATTCAGTTTTTTTGTTTTAAGACACAGGGTTTTGCTTGGTTGCCCAGGCTGGAGTGCAGTGGTACAATCATAGTTCACTGCAGCCTTGAAATACTGGGCTTAAGTCATTCTCTTATCTCGGCCTCCTGAGTAGCTGGGATTAGAAGCATCTACCATGATGCCTGGGTGGTTTTTATTTTCTGTCCACGTAAATGTAATCACTTTGATAGTTAGGTTTCTGTTTCATATTCTGTTTAGATTTTTTTTCCTTATCTTTGTTGACTTGATTTTATATCTTTATTTTTTTTAAGAGATGAGGTCTTACTATGCTTAAATTCCTGGCCTCAAGTGGTCCTCCCACCTTGGCCTTCCAAACTGGTTGGGATTACAGGCATGCACTGCACCTGACCATATTTCCTTAATTTATAAAACACTAAATGCTTCCAAAAGTCAAAACTATATAAAGAGATACATTCACGTCTCATTCCCTGTCTCTCTACTGCAATCTCTTACACCTACCATAGGTAACTAATTTCACTGCTTCTGGTTTGTCCTTCCTGTGTTTTCTTTTGCAGAAGCAAGCATAGAAATACGTACGTGTGTGTGTGTGTGTGTGTTTAGATATGTATATAAACCCTTTTTTTCTTATCATGCCATATACATTCTTGTGCCGTGTCTTTTTCACTTAATGTATGCTGGCAATCACTTTTTAATCAGTGCTTAATGATGTTTCTTCTTCCTCTTTTTTTTTTTTTTTTTTGAGTTGAGTCTCACCCTGTTGCCCTGGCGGGAGTGCAGTGGCACGCTCCTGGCCATTGCAGACTCGACCTGCTGGGCTCTGGCGATCCTTCCACCTTACCCTTTTAAGTAGCCGCAACTACAGGCACGCACTACCACGCCCGGTTAATTTTTTATTTATTGTAGAAATCTTGCCAAGTTGCCCGGGTGGATCTCGAACCTGCAGGCTCAGGCAGTTCATTCTCCTCAGCCTCCCAAAGTGTTGGGATTATAGGCTGAGCCACTGAGCCTGGCCTCTTCTTCCTTTTTATAACTGCAAAGTAGCCTGTGTTTAGTAAGCTCAGTCTTGGCTGGAGCTCAGAGCAAATATTAGCCTTGAACTCCTTGTGCTGCCTTTGTTGCTGGGCGTTGCCAGTTGCAGGGCTCATACTCAGCTTGGGGTGCTAGCCGTTCTGGTGGGGGTAGAAGGGCTCCGTTCCGGGCTGAACATCCCGCTGGTCCTGACTTCCTTCTTTCGACAGGTATGTGCCCTTTTCAGTGGCCTTGCCCTGGATGTGCCCTCCATGTCTCATGTGATGCGTGCCAGCCAGTGTGCCCTGCAGCTCTTAATAAGTGTCTGTTCGCTTTCACTTAGTCTTTCCCTCTGAAACAGGTGGCCCGGGAGAGTGGCCCACCCCACATGAAGAACTTCGTGACCAAGGTTTCCGTTGGGGAGTTTGTCGGGGAAGGTGAAGGGAAGAGCAAGAAGATTTCCAAGAAGAACGCGGCAATAGCTGTCCTTGAGGAGCTGAAGAAGCTGCCACCCTTGCCTGCAGTTGAGCGGGTGAAGCCCAGAATCAAAAAGAAAACAAAACCCATAGTCAAGGTGAGAGCCTTTTGGAACAAAGAAGGCATTTCATTACTACAGGTGGTTGGGGGTTTAGAAGACTGGTGGCTGTCCCCAGAGTGAAAGGGGACAGGGCAAACATGTCACCCACCAGGCCTGGCAGAGCTTTCCAGATGCCACAAGAGCCTCAGGTTAGGTGGCAATCAGGACGCACATGGTTCAGTAGAAGAACATCTGTAACAGGAGGGCCAGGAGCTGGGCGGGGCGAAATGTCCTCTGCGGGGCCAGTGATTGTGGGGCCTCAGCTCAGTGACCACGCCTGTTCTGAAGATGGAGGAGGCCATGGGGCAGGGTGCGGAGACATTTTGCAGTATGCCTTCTTCGTATTTTTGAGCTACTAAGAAGAAGCATACAGCAAAATGTCAGAACATGTTGACTCTTTCCCCACCCCCAGAAAAGGGTCAGGATTCCACTGGGGGATTTAGGAATGCTAGGATCTGTTCTGTTGTGATTTTTAGCATATGCAGTTTCATGCTACAGCGTGATCCAGATTCTTCTTACATAAAGTTAGCATCCTATATATACAAGAGGGTCCCCCCAAAACTGGAATTATTCATTAAAAATTGTGTATTCTTACATGTTTATACTTCAGTCACCTTCGTAGTACTCTCCATTGGATGCAGTACACCTGTCTTTTTTTTTTTTTAAGTAGGAGTCTCATTCTGTTGCCCAGGCTGGAGTGTAGTAGCATGCTCGCGGCTACCCCAGCATCGACCTTTTGGGCTCTGGCAATTCTTCTGCCTTGGCTTTCCAAGTAGCCAGAACTGTAGGCACGAGCTACCATGCCCGGCTCATTTTTTGATTTATTGTAGAGACGAGGTCTCACTATGTTGCCCAGGCTGATCTCGAACCCACGGGCTCAGGCAGTCCTCTCACCTCGGCCTCCCAAAGTGCTGGGATTACAGGCTTGAACCACTGTGCCGGCAGCAATGCACCTATTGAGATGCTTTTCCATTGCTCAAAACAGTTTTGGAACTCATCCATTTTGATGCCTTTTAGTGCTTCTACTGTCTTTTGTTTCACCTCTTCCACACTGGCAAAACGTTTCCTTTTGAGGACTTTTTTCATCTGGGGAAACGAAAAGAAGTCGCTTGGGATGAGATTGGGTGAACGTCATGCCACTTTTTGTCAAAAAAGACTGCTGAGCACTCAGTGCGGTGTGGGAAGGTGCACTTGTAAATCATCCACCGTGAGATGGGCAAACGTGTCACAGAATCTCAGAAAAACCCAAAAAACCAAAAATTCACTGGAGCTGAACGCAGCCTTTCACAACGATAGCTAGTAGGTTCCTAGAACACTTTCCTGATGCCAGTAGGTTCCTAGAACACTTTCCTAGCAGGGGAAGCGTGCCGATAAGAAGCCCACCCTCCAAGAGATAACTCAGTTTTTTGGGAGTTCCCCTTCATGCTCTTTTGCGGTTTCCTTTTTCACCTAATGTACCCTGGAAGCGCCCTGACAGTGGAGGGGATGAGGATTCCATGACAGACAGCAGCTCCAGAAAATAACTGTGGGATTCTTAGGTTCTGTTGATGTGGTGTCTGCATCAGGTTTGTTTTTTTTTTAAGAAAGCTAGGAATCCACCACAGTACAGACTTCTAGGGAATTTTAGTGCCAGTGTTTCATATTTTTTTCTGCATATTTACTGTCATATGTTGAATTTGTTAACAAAGTGGGTGTGGCGGTGACGATTGCCGAGTCATAGTGAGATGTTGATGCTGGTTTGCCAAGAGCGTAAAATCACCTCAGAACAATCGTAGAAAATCACAAAGCAGCTTTTCATTTTGGAAGGGCTAAGTTAAAAGAAGGTCTGGCTACTTCTGAGCTATCGGATCACATGAAACGTTTCATCTCCTGTCATGTCCTGAGTGGCACCGAGCTTTTGCACTCTTTGTCCCTCAGCCACAGACAAGCCCCGAGTATGGCCAGGGCATCAACCCGATCAGCAGACTGGCCCAGATCCAGCAGGCGAAGAAGGAGAAGGAGCCAGAGTACCTGCTCCTCACAGAGCGAGGCCTCCCACGCCGCAGGGAGTTCGTGATGCAGGTGGGTCTGCTCAAGCTGTGGACGCCCTTCCTCTGGCCATCCTGACCCCCAGGTATGACACTTCAGAGCTGTGTGGAGTGTTTCTCCCTGGACTTCGCTTACTAAATGACCACTTCGCATGGGCAGCTTCCCTTGTGATTTGCACGTAAAGGTATTTTCTGAAAAACAGAACACTCAGTCCTTGTGTAGAACTGTCACTTGACCTGGGGTGTTGTGCCTGTGCAGTCAGAAGGTAGGAGAATAATCCTTCCATTCAACAAGGAACTTGCAGTTTGCTGAGAGGATTAGTAATTTGCCTGAGAGGAAATGGCCGGTAGGTGACCAGGCTGGAGTCCAGTCACACACCAGTCTCACAGCCGGGAAGGATTTTGGGACTTTTCAGTCTTGGAACTTGGAGCTTCTGGTTTCAGTAGCTGGGTTCCTGTGATCAGGCCAGCTTGGAATGGGATGGTCGGCAGTGGTGTGCTGGGGTATGTTTATCAGCCAGCTCTCAAGGGAGAGCGTGTGCTGGGAGGCATGTGTATGTACGTATACCAGACACACACGTGCATACAGAGGTTACAACTTTTGCCAGTAGAAAGGATGTGTATGTAATTTACAAATAACGTATTCTTTCTTATGAAGTTCACACGTACTTCGGTATGACAGTCATCCATAGTGTTGTGAAATCAGACAACATATTATGCTTTATTACTATCCAGTTCAGCCAAAATGTTGCTCATGCCACTGACAGATCCACATTGTAGACTTGGGATTTTAACTCTAGCATGAACATTGGTTGATATTTTTATTTATATTCACAAATAAGATAAAAGTACAACAGTGAGGATGTGTAATTTCACTCTTTGGAGACGATATGAGTGACTTCTCTGCAGAACTGAACAATAATTTCTGAAGACTGGAAGAATGTTTCAGGTTTTTGTACTAGTTTCAGTGTAATGGCTACAGACTTAACATGCTTCTAAGCTTCATCTGTGATATTAACCTTTTCTCCATCAGTGTAAATTTAGAGTTAGACAGTCAGTCAACAACTTAATCTGCATTTGCAGATTTCTGTGGTGTAAATACTCCCACCAGGGCCGATTTCAACATCAAGGTGCCACTTCTGGTCACAGAGTTGGGAGGAGATGTAGCCCATTATGTGCAAATTCAGGACATGGACAGAATCTCCGAACGCAGATCTCTGTAAAATGCAGTCACATCATTACCTTTGCTTGATAAAATAATTTAATTAATTATAAGCACACGTAATTTAATGTTTAAAACTGGCTGTGTTTAGCAGGTGGCTTTCCAGTCGCCTGAGTATTTAATAATCAACTTTGGCAGACTGAGGCAGGCCAGCCCTGGGCGCCACCCTTAAGCCATTAAGACCACTGATGGTTTTTTTTGCCCACACTGCTAATTCCCGCCTGTTCTCTCCTCTGAAGGCTTAAGCACTGGTCTGTGTTTTGACTTCTTGGTGCAGGTGAAGGTTGGAAACCACACTGCAGAAGGAGTGGGCACCAATAAGAAGGTAGCCAAGCGCAACGCGGCTGAGAACATGCTGGAGATCCTTGGCTTCAAAGTCCCACAGGCACAGCCTGCCAAACCAGCGCTCAAGTCAGAGGAAAAGGTGATGCTCGGGCTCTCTCCTCACAAAATGGCCCTCTCACCTCACCCCGGGCAACCCTAGCACCTCGGGCGAGCATCAGGCTACGTACTCCTGGCAGCACAATGGCCCTGCCAGGCAGCATCTTAGCCCTTTGGACGATTATAACATGCTCGGAGGGAATTGCAAGTCCCCTGGTCCCAGACATGGCTCTGGCTTAGGCCGTTGCTGGTTCAGTGTCTTTGTGGTCTGGGATGCCTTGTGGAGGGCTGCTCCCCTCCATTGGTAGGATGCCTGTAAGGGCTTGAAGCTAACAAGTGTAAATTCTGTCATCTGCCTGCATGAGACTCATAACCCGTAGGCCTCCATTCACTGCAGTGCCGGCCTTAGAGTTTCTGGGACACTGAGACCCTGACAGTAGAGTGTTGATTTGGGATTTATTTGTTCTTATATGAGATGAACAGCAGGTGAAAATCATTTGCTATTGAAAAATTCAGCTCTGCCTAGAGCAGTCCTGGACGCCAGTGAAAGCCTCAAGTGAGCTTCTGCTCCCAATCACTGAGTGATCTTGTAGATCAGCTTGGAACCAAGAGTGGCTTGCTCATATCTGCCAGTCACATTGACAGAGAGAAACAGTGTCAGCCATGGCCACATAGTTAATAACTGGAACCCCAAACACCACTGGCACAGATCCTGAACCGGGCTTTTGGGGTTTCATTCCACAGTCTTATAGAGCACTCATAAGCATCCTTCCCTTGTTACTGCTCAGAAGGGAGACCTTGTATGTGACAAAATTCTCACTGAAACACATTTCCCTCCCAAGGGTGTTATCTTTGGATGTGTGACCTTGTTTTTTAATTGGATATTAGTTTCAGGAAATATTTTCGATTTGCTTAGCTTTAGTCTAAACACTTCTTTCCCCACCTCGGAGGGCAGCTGCGGTCTAGCATCTCTGCTCCTCTGAAGGTTAACGTTCCCGTCTTCCTGTGGGTGCAGGGCACCGGCTCATCTCCACAGGCCAATGCCGTTTCCTCTCTGCCAGATGCTCTTTGTGGAACGGCTGGTGGGGTGAGAGGGACAGGCTCTCCAAGATGGCCTGCGTGCTCTAGCGGGCAGCTTTGGGGAAGGGCTTTCCTGCCAGGTGCCTCGATTGATGTGGGTTGGAGGTTGTGTAGTTTTGGATAGCAGGGGCTGACGTTTCAGTGATTTGATTTATGCTCATGTCCTTTTTTTTTCTTTTTAAAGACACCCATAAAGAAACCTGGGGATGGAAGAAAAGTAACCTTTTTTGAACCTGGCTCTGGGGATGAAAACGGGACTAGTGAGTATAAGTTTACTGTTGTCTTGATTGGCATGAGCTTCAAAGATCTGCAAGGGTCCTGAGGAAGCCAGGTGTCCAGCCAGTGAGTGCAGGGCACCCGTGCCTGCAGCCTTCCCTGTGCCCTGGAGTCCAGGGGAGGGCCGGCCCTCCAGGTAGTGCGTGTGGATTCGAGCTGGTCTGCATGTGTCTCTCCCCAGGCAGTAGAGAGGATGAGTTCAGGATGCCTTGTCTAAGTCATCAGCAACTGCCTGCTGGAATTCTCCCAATGGTGCCCGAGGTCGCCCAGGCTGTAGGAGTCAGTCAAGGACATCACGCCAAAGATTTCACCCGGGCAGCCCCGAACCCTGCCAAGGCCACGGTGACTGCCATGATAGCCCGAGAGCTGTTGTATGGGGGCACCTCGCCCACAGCCGAGACCATCGCAAGGAGCAGCGTCTCTTCGGGCCACGCACCCCATGGACCTCTCACGAGACCCTCTGAGCAGCTGGACTATCTTACCAGAGTCCAGGGATTCCAGGTAATGTCATACCCGAGCTGTGAAGGCTGTGCCTCAGGACCGCTGTCCTCTGGGCTTCTTTCAGAGGAAGGGTTTCAAGCCTTGTTTCTGACTTCGAGGGCTTTGCCTGGGGGAGGGCGGAGGGGTGGGTGGGGTAGTCCTGGGGACGGGGGGAGGTGTGGAGAGTATTACAAGAGGAAATCCTCATCCTCTGGTAATGGCACTTCAGAATCCCAGCCAACCCTGAAGGCCTGTGACCACTAGTAGTGGTTGTAAACTTGGGTTTCCCAGAGAACAGTGACACTTCCTCATGCTGACACCTCCTGCCTGATAGGAAAGGACTTGGCTCCTCCAGTCAGGCCGAGCCCGGGAAGAGAAGTGTGTGCTCCGTGCTGGGGGCTGACTCGTGCTCACCGCTCCCTGCCCTGGCCTCAGCTCTCTTTTCTCCCTTAGGTTGAATACAAAGACTTCCCCAAAAACAACAAGAATGAATTTGTATCCCTCATCAATTGCTCCTCTCAGCCACCTCTGATCAGCCACGGTATCGGCAAGGATCTTCAGTCCTGCCACGACATGGTATGTCCCCCTTGGGTGGGGCCCAGAGCTGGACTGTGGCTCTACGGAGCCTCCTCGCCTGCCTTGGCCACAGACTTCATGGGTCGAGGACTTCTGTCGAGTTGATGGTCTGTCTCCCTCTGCTGCCTGGAGCTCGTCAGCTTTCACTCCCCTCCGCCCCTTTCCCATGCTGGCCAGAGGGGCCACTGGGACCTGGAGCTCACTCAGAGCAGGAAACTGCAGGCCCACGTTTCCTGCAGAGAGCGCCCTTACCTTGGTATTCTGTTCACGTTGAAACGGTTGCAGAAAACCAAGAAAAGGAATTGATGATTGACTAATCTGAGTCAACTGTGGTATCACTTGATGGAACATACGTATCCATGAAACGAATGTCTCTGGAGATAACGTAATAAAAATACATGATAGTTTTTATTTGAGAGCAGGATATAACATTTGTACAGTCTGGCTACTATAAGGTTAAAAATACTAGAAGGAAATATAACAGGTTGTGATTCAATGAGGTAACTGTGGATAATTTACTTTAAAAAATTTGTATTAGTCGGGCTCGGTGGCTCAGCCTGTAATCCCACGCCTTTGGGAGGCGGAGGTAAGTGGATTGCCTGAGCCTGCGGGTTCGAGACTCGCCTGGGCAACTTGGTGAGACCTCATCTCTACAATAAATCAAAAATTAGCCGGGCGTGGTAGCGTGCGCCTGTAGTTGCAGCTACTCGGAAGGCTGAGGCGGAAGGATCGCCGGAGCCCAGCGGGTCGAGGCTGTGGTGGCCGGGAGTGGCCACTGCAGTCCAATCTGGGCAACAGATGAGACTCCAACTCAAAAAAAAAAAATTTGTATTTTACTGAGCCTACGGTTCAAGTCCAGGCAACTTGGCGAGACCTCGTCTCTACAATAAATAAAAAATTAGCCAGGCTCGGTGGCTCAGCCTGTAATCCCACACCTTTGGGAGGCTGAGGTGAGCGGATTGCCTGAGCCTGCGTGTTTGTGACCCGCCTGGGCAGCGAGACCTCATCTCTACAATAAATCAAAAAATTAGCCGGGCATGGTAGCGCGCACCTGTAGTTCCAGCTACTTAGAAGGATGAGGTGGAAGGATCACCAGAGCCTAGCAAGTTGACGCTGGGGTGGCAGTGAGAGTGCCACTGCACTCCAGCCTGGATGACAAGAGTGAGAATCCAACTTAAAAAAAAAAAATTTTTTTTTTTGTATTTTAAACTAAAACCAAACCTTTAAACCTGGAGTTTAAGAAGTTGCCACTTGGCCAGGCTCAGTGGCTCAGACTGTAATCCCAGCACTTTGGGAGACCGAGGCAAGTGGATTGCGTGAACCTGCGGGTTCGAGACCAGCCTGGGCGACTTGGTGAGACCTCGTCTCTAGCATAAATCAAAAATTAGCTGGGTGTGGTTAACTAGTGCGTGCCTGTAGTTCTGGTGGCTTGGAAGACAAAGGGCAAAGGCTCACTGAAGCCCAGCAGGTCTGCGCTAGGGTGGCCATGAGTGTGCCACTGCCCTCCAGCCTGGGCGATAGAATGAAACTAACTAAAAAAAAAAAGTTGCCACCTGTTTGTGGGTGGTAGGAACGCTCACCTGACTCTGTGTCTCATGCTGTGGTCCCATGCAGTGGCCATAGTTTTACTTTTCTTTCTGTCCCCACCAGGCTGCTCTGAATATTTTAAAGTTGCTGTCTGAGTTGGACCAACAAAGTACAGAGATGCCAAGAACAGGAAACGGACCAATGTCTGTGTAAGCCGCGGTTTTACATGGAGGGTGCTTGGCCTGGGCATGCAGTGAGGAACACTTGTCTGAGTTACTTGCTAGCCCCTTCCCCTGAAAGACTTCCAGGTTCTCTGGACAGAGAGTGTCTTTTTTCTTTCTTTCTCTCTTTTTATTTTATTTTGAATAGCTCATACATTCTGTGGTCAGAACTCTGTCTTGCAAGGTACACGGTGGGTCCTGCCCTCACAGTCCACATCCCTCCCACTCTCCTCTACCCCCCACAGATGACATTTGTTTCTCCTATGTCTTTCCTATGTTTCTCTGTGCAAATACAGGCATATATTTCTTTCTTCATTTTCTTCCTTTGTTCCCCAGAGATAACGTACACACACACGTTCCTTGCTTTCTTCACTGTGAGTGGTGTACCCTGGGATACCATTAATTCGATTATCATAAACTGGGTCTAAGATTTTGGACTTGGATGTTTGCTTATTGCTTTTTATTTTTGACATAAGTTTAGTGATATTACATTTCAAAATTGGTGTCGTTTTCATTTTTCTTCCCTAAAGGTGTGGGAGGTGCTGAACCTTTTCTGGCCATGAACCATTATAAAATCCCAAAATATATACTGAAAATACTGAAACTGCTTTGAAAATTTGGAATTTCTGATACCTCCAGTGGGCCGAGACACAGTGGGTGAAGAACGTGGGCGGTGGTGGTGAAGACGACAGAGACACGAGGAGGTGACTGTGACCGAGCCGGACCATGCTGGGGTTTGTTGTGACAGCCGCTCGTGAACCAGCGGTCCCCACACAGAAACAACTGCCCTTGGGGAAGGAAGGGCCTGCCTGGCTGGCTGGCTCCATCAGGAAACCAGCAGATTGTGCCCTGGACTCCGCAGTGCTTGATATTGTTCTTTTTTTTTTTTCTGTGTGAGAGAAGAAACAGAAAGCATGACCCCTTCTGAAACTGGCTCGCTCCAACGCTTTGGGACAAACCCTGGTCAGCCACGCCAGAGAGAGGCCTTACATCGGCCCCAGAGCTAAAAGCACCAGAGAAAATCAGATGCTTCCTGCTCAGCGCAACCGAACTTTCCTAGCGTGCTGTGGCCCCACATCTCCTGTCGTCCCACGCCATAACCACTGCTTCCTCCAACAGTAATATGTATTCTTAGTTTCATTCTTTTCTTTTGATTGATATGACACTATATAAAATCTTCATTTGAGAGTTTCTCAATTGTATCTAGTTATATAGCACAGTTTGGAAACTTGTCTGAGACTGACTTTATCAGTAATCTAACCGGCAAAGATCATATCCATGTGTATGTGGTTGTATGTTTTTATTTCATTGGACTAACCCAGGACCATTTCAGTGATGCAAATTGTGTGCCCTCTGGTTCGGCTGAAACAGTCCTGGACTTCTCAGAAACCTTGATGAAGTCTCCCATAGTTGTATAAATTGGACACTTTAGGCAGTTTAAACTTTAGATGGTCATTTGGTTCCTTTTCTATTTTATTTCTATTTTTGTTAATACAAACAGGACTTAAAACAAATGAACTTTGATCTTTGTTTTAAAGATTATGAAAAATTTGTGTCTATACATATGGCTCCTGAGGATGGAGCTTTCCCTGCACTACAGGATATGATCTCCGTGTCGTCCATATAAACCTGCAGATTGATTTTCCTTGAGTGCTTATACCGTTAATTACATCTCCATGTAGGGCTGGAAAGAATGACCTATGTTTCTATATACAGCTGTGTTGCTTTGATGTTGTGCTGTCGTACACAGAGGTGTGTACACTAAGGTTCTGCCTATGGTCCAGATGAGAAGCCTGGTAGCCTTGCAAGTTAAGTACTGCTTCCATTCATTTGTTTACGCTGAAATTTTTCTCCCCCTGGAATGTAAGTAAAACTTAGTGTTTGTCACCAATAAATGGTAATACTAAATTTTTTTGTTAATTTATTCTCAGATGCCCCCACTGCTAGGTTGATCCCCTCCCAACTTGCCCTCTACCCTTTTTTAAGAAAAAAATTTGTAATGCTTGTGATTCTGTCTGGGCAAAACCTGAAGATCTGAAATAACTTTATATCAAACCATTGATCAATAAACAGCTACTAATGAAGTGTTCGGTCCTGCTGAGCAGTAACTAAAGAAATGAGGGAAGATGTGAGGAGACAGGCGCTCGTTGTGGGGACAAGGCAGACTGAGGAAAGTGTCACAGCCGGTGGGGGAATGTGGGCAGTGGGGAAGTGCCGGGGACCAGCTCCAGCCAGGTTCAGGGTACCCCAAAGGTGGAGATGGCGTCGGCGATTGGGGGGAAGAAGAAAGAGAAAGAAAGAGACTGGACTCCAGTCTAGTGCAGAAGCAATGTGTGTTATTGGGAATTACAACGGGTCTTTTATACACAAAGTCAGATGTGGGAGGGGCGTCT